AGACGAATCCAACGGTATATTTTATGAATAAATCTGATGTACAGAGGTTCAGTTATGACATTTTAAATATGTAATTTGTATAAAAATGAGAAAAAGTCAAAGATGTGAACTTTTGTAAAATGATTTATTGAAATAAATATTTATATTTAATAATATTGATTGAATATGAGACTAATTTTAATTACATATCAATTAATTCAATTTTGACTCTGTCAAAGTCAACACCAAAAAATATGCTGTCACAAAAAGTATTTCAAATAAATATAAAAGTTATATCATTAAATAGAGTTTGACTGTCTGATCGCAACGGTGTAAACGGATTTTAATTTGGATAAAGTTGGACCAAAAAGTGTACCCCGACTGGGACCAAATTAGCCCCAATCAGGGAACTAATCATGAAACGGCGCCATGTTCCCTTCCTGTGCAATCAGTCGATCCCAATTACGTAGAAGCAATAGGAGTTGGCTTCTTCCCTTCTTCTCCACTATATAAACAAACACAACTCCTTTAATTCTTCACCAAAACAATTTAATTTTGCTTCTATATTGTTCTTTGCTGAGAGAGGAGTGCCCTGGTGTTGTCACTTTTGTGTGAGGTTGCCGGAGCAGTGAGATAGAGTCGCCGGAAGGTTCGCTGGAAAATTTTCAAAACCTCCCTTACGCTTCAAGGTAAGCCTGTAGATATATCTAATGACTAGAATGCTCATATAGATCGATTCTACGTTCATAGATGGTCATTTGGTTGAGTTTTGAGTTTGACATGCTTGAAGAACTAAGAATCATAAACCATGAAATTGATGTTAAAATTATGAATTAATGATGCTAAAATGATCCATGAACTTTGGAGAACATTTTTATATACTTTAATTGAAGTTTGGTGAGTAAAAGTGACATTTCCGCAAGTTGGCTCGAGGTAGAAGACGATGGATAATCGATTATCAACTTGAAAATCGATTATTCATCGTTCTGCAGATTTTTTGAACAAAGCTGAGCAACAGTCGATTATCAGAATGTGATAATCGACTGTCAGCCCTCTCTGAAGTTTGATAATCGATTATCAGAGTGTGATAATCGATTATCAGCCCATTCTGAACATCAGACAGTAGATTATCAGAAGTGACAGTAGACTGTCTCCCTACACTATTGAAGAAAATGAAGCTAATAGCTAATAATTGAATTTCCTATCATATATTAATCAATTGTTATTTAGAAAA